CCTTAACCAGGACATTCTGTGAAACCCCCCCAACCGACTGTTCCTAGCTGAAGCCTCCCCCCCCCCTTTTGTTTTTCCCTGCAGGGAAGCACTCCTGGCAGAGATGGGGGTGGCTCTCCGGGAGGACGGGGGCACCGTCGGGGTGTTTTCCCCCAAGAAGGTAGGCCTCGGAGCTCTGCGGGCGCGTGTCAGCCCTTGCACGCTGGCTGCACCCGGGCCTGGGACACTGGCTGACCCATTGCGAGGCGGCCTCCAGCCTGTCTTGCCTGGACCCTGGGAAACAGATTTGGTGGGAAGAAAGCAACCAGAACCCCCCCCTCCAGATAATCTTGGCTGGGGGTGGGTGGGGCTGCATGGGAGGGATCAGGGAGCTGTGTGTGTTCCAGAAAAGCAGGGCTTCCTTGCTCTGCTCTTGCCCGCTGGCCGCGGCGGCCTCGGGTCTTGGGCCGAGAGGGGTCTTCTTCATCCCCCCCCCGTGCCCCCTGCGCTGCTACGGTAGAGTTGGAGACCTTTGGCAGGCACAGCCGTGGCGTTGGTGCACCGTCCCCAAAGCCCACCCCCAGCCACCCCTTTCAGAGGCCTTGAAGGCTGCGTGTCAGTTCTATGCCGCATGTAGAAAGCCCCCTTTCTGAGGTGGGGGAGGGAGTCCTCGGGGTGTGCTCTGTGATGGCTGCTGGGTGGTGCTGACCACGGGGTCCCTCCCTGTGGCTGCAGCCCGTGGCCTTCTCACCGGTGGGGTGGGAAGGGTCTTGGAGAGCCCGTGAACGAAGGGGCTAAAGGAAGGCCGGAGCGGCTCCATTAAGGGTTGGACCCGCTCGGAGAGACCTCTTGATTCGTCAGGTGGCCCCAGGGCAGGGGGGGGCAGTTTCCTATCCCATCAGGCCGGCGCAAATAGGAAAGCAGGGAAGCCGGGACTGAGCCCATCGGGAGGTGGCCGGGCTGCTCCCCTCCTCTCCCTCTCCCTCGGTCACCTTTGCTGCCCGGGCGTCCTCCTTTCAAATGGCTTCACAGTGGTGTAAGGGCCTCTGCCTGGCCCCGAGCTCGCTCTCTCGTGGCAGGATGGGGTAATAAATACTTTGGTAGCCGCTGAGCCAAATCCCACCTTCTCTCTGACCCAGACCCCCCACTTGGTGAACCTGAACGAGGACCCCCTGATGTCCGAGTGCCTGCTTTACCACATCAAGGACGGGGTCACCCGGTAAGGGCCCTCCCGGGCTGCAAGGGAGGGGGGACAGGGAGGAAGGGGGTCTCTCTGGGCTGCTCCTAACATTGTGCCCCCCTGCCCCCCCCTCTTGCTCTGCCTGGCACCCCCTTCGCTGCCACAGAGTCGGACAGCAAAACGTGGACATCAAGCTGACGGGGCAGTTCATCCGAGAGCAGCACTGCGTCTTCCGCAGCGTCACCAGCGAATCCGGCGAAGGTGAGCCTGGGGCGTGCGGGCGCGAGACCCTCGGGGTGGGGCTGAGCTTTCCGGCAGCTTCCGTGAGCAGGACCCTCTCTCCGGCTTGCTGGCCTTGACTTGTGATAACTTTTCTTCTCCCCTCTCTCTGTGCTTGCGTGGAGCAGGGGGGCCTGGCCGTGGGGCAGCCTGTCAACAGGTATCGGGTTGTCTGTGGTTCCGAGAAATGGGGGGGGGGTAAGAGAGGTGGGGGAGGGGGCCAGCCCAAGGAACATCCTTCTGCAACCTCCTCCTTGTGGAGAATTGGCATTTCCTGCAAGCCAGCTGCCTTGGTCCTCCAAGGCCTTTATCGCCAGCTCTGGTTGGCAGCAGCTAGAGATGGAGGAGAGAGTCTTTCCCGGCCCTGCCAGGAGATGACGCTAGGGTTTGAACCCAGGGTCTCCTGCACGCAAAGCAGCACCCTCTACTCCCTGGGGGGGGGATTCTGCCTCCCTGCCAGGTAGCAGCCATGCCCAGCTTTGCTTAGCTCCAAAAGGGGGGGGGGGGGGGAGGGAGGGGGCCTTCCCCGTCACCCCCTGTGCAGGAGGGCGAGGGCTCGAGGGTGCCAGGGCTTGGAGGCCAAGGCTTCCTCTCCATCTGCACCCCCGCCACCCTGCTGGGGTGGTAGCCACATGGGGCTGAGGCTAGAGCAGGTCTGGGGCTGAGCTGTTGTGTTGGGGGGAGGTTCAGGAAATGGGGTGCCTGATTTCTGGCTCTCTCCCCTCTCAGTGGTCGTCACGCTGGAGCCGTGCGAGGGGGCCGAGACATACGTCAATGGGAAGCAGGTGATGGAGCCCCTGGTGTTGCGATCAGGTAGCGTTTGGGGGGGAGAGAAAGGGGTCCCGTGGGGGTTCCTTGGGGTTTGGCCCCCAGCCTGCCTTGGCCAGGGACCTGCCTTCAGGGCCTGGTCTGGAAGGTTCGGAGGAAGGGTTTCGGCTCTTCTGCAGGAGGCCTTCCCAAAACTGACCCAGGCAGGACCGTGCCCCTCTGGGACTCCCCCCCCCACATTGAGTGCATGGGACACCCCCCCCCAAAAAAAGGAGCAGAAGACCTTGCCCCTTGAGGTGCTTCTCCTTTCTTGGGCAACTTTTATTTCATTTCCCGGGGGACGGCGTCCCAGCTGAATGGGGCTGCGGGGGGGGCAGGGGCTGACCCACAGAAAGCCTGCCATCTCTGGACCCCTGCTGCCCCCTGCGGCCTCCGTACAAGCCCCCCTCTTCCAGTGCCAGCCGCCTCCTCTATGGGTGCCACTATGATAGCATCTGTGTGGCTTTGCCAGGCGCTCGTACAGCATACATAGAGGTGGCCGCTGCTTCGGATCACGGCCCGTGGCCACTCTGGTTTGTCCTAGAGACCCACCCACAGATCTTTTCTAACACTCTCCTTCCCCCCCCATCCCCTTGCATTTCCTCCTGCGCAGCCGACATCTCTCTTGTGCTCCTTCTTCTCCAGGCAATCGTATCGTCATGGGCAAGAACCACGTTTTCCGTTTCAACCACCCGGAGCAGGCGCGCCTGGAGCGAGAGCGCCACGTCCCCGTCGAGAGCCAGCCGGAGCCCGTGGACTGGAATTTCGCCCAGCGGGAGCTGCTGGAAAAGCAAGGGATTGATATTAAACTGGAGATGGAGAAGAGGTGAGTGTCGGGGGGGGGCGGCTACAGAGTCCCAAAAGGCCCCCTAGCCCAGGGGGAGGGCATGCGTGTGTCGGTGCATGAACGGAAAAGGGCACCATTCATCGTGGCTTCCACGGCTGCCACACAGTGGCCATTATTTGTTCCGACGGCGTGGCCTGTTCTGTGAATACCAAGAAATCTCCTGTCTGGTCGTTTGGAGGGTCTGTAGAGACAGTGTGGGTGGCCATGTGGGGGGGGGCAATTCCCCTCAGTGCCGTCCCCCCTGCCCGGCTCCCCAGCTGTGAGAGAGGGAGCCGGCCTGTCTCACCAGAGTCAGTGCGAGAGGCTTCCCTCAGCCTCGTGGCCTTTGCCTCAGGCAGCAAAATGTCTAAGGCCACCCTTCAGAGACGAGGCACCAACCACGACCCCCATCCACCCCTTTATGGTGACTGGGGACCTGGGCGGGAATGGGTTCTGCTGGGCCCTGCCTTGTGTCACCCGGAAATCTTTCTGCCCCCCCACACC